ATGGAGGAGACCGTATGGAGAGGAGTTGAAAGAGTACGGACTAACATGGATGCAGGTGAAAAGTACAGCAGAAGCAAGACAGAAGCAAGTGGAGACGTGTAGTTGAAGCGGTATGTTTCACTAGGAACCCAAGGGAACAGTAATAATAATAAGCAAGTTAACGCGTTATAGTCAGTATTTGCTGAGTTAAATTGCGAACGATTGTAGACCACTCCCATAAATACTTCTCATGATGGGAAACATTTATATTACTAGGATAATGCGTTTAGTTTATTTGCAGCTGATTACGCTTTATATCAGTTGTCTTTTTACATGTAACCAATTCAGATGCCCTATTAAAACGGAGCAGTATTCTCTTTTTCACATACATTATGAACTTTGATGAGCAGTTTTCAGTGACATCAGCAAAACCGTCAACTCTTAATTGCTAGTGTTTTTGCTTCTCGTTAAAATGAATCAGTTCAGGGGAGAACGTGTACACGAGCTGAATAAACGGCATACTAATTCTGTAATTCTTTTGAGCCTTTTGTATGATTCTTATTGGAATATAACCTGGGAAATATTTTCTAGTGATTACATTTAAATGATTGTTTGAATTCAGTGTAAACTGACAAATAAGACTCCAAGAAGTCTGTAAAGCCATACATTATAGAAATTACAGAGCAAGTTTATAATTTTATGCCTCATTGTATTTCTCCACTATCTTCTTTCAGCGAAAAATTCACATGAATTAAGTGTGTTCACTGAGTTGGTTGATTTAAATGCGAAGCTTTCGTCGTCCATCTAGAAAACATCTTCAGAGAAGGTTTTAGTATAAAATGGACTTATTTAAATTCCCCCATGAATAATGTAATTGTATCTCCCGCCAAGGGTTTTCTCGACTGGTTGTTAATTTGTCTACTGATCAGTTTTCTTGACTTGGAATTCGAACTTTCTTTTTGTGCTACTTGCTTTTTATGCGCTGGTAAATTTGGTCTATAATAAGGTGTTTGTTAATTGCTGATTCAGTAGAGTACCAGTCTTCCATCAATTCCCTGATTGCTGTTTTGGTGTTTTCTCTATCTAAAAATCTCCACATTATCTCACTCAAACTGGTGTCCATAATTATCCACATGCATTGATATGAAATTATGTATATATCATACCCTTTTACAGGTAAGTTGTGTTCTTAGATCCGGATTCCAAGGGGGACACCCGCTTTAACTGATGTAATGTTTATTGCGCTTCGTACAATTTATTTCGTAATGGTATTAATGTTGTCTTCTTCTTCTTCTATTGGATCTTTCGGTTTTGTATAATATCGAATGAAGTGATTGTGCTCGTTGGCTAGGCTGTATACTATATCTGTTTCACGCGGTGTTAATATTCCAGCTGTTACTTAAGAGGTATTTTTTTATATATGGTGGGATGAACATTCTTGTGGTCTTCGCTGTTGCCTTTTTATTGGTGTTATGAGTTGAGTTTAAACACTTTTTGATGAAATTTTGAGAATATCCATTCTTTTTTGAAGACACTTAGTAGGTATTTTCTCCATTCTCTTCAACACAGAAGTTTTACAGTTTGTTTAAACTCTTTTAAACAATATCTTTACACCCAGCTAATTAAATATCATCCATCTGAGCTACAAATCTTCTCCATTATTTTAAAACAGTTCATTTAAGTAACCTACATTAGTGCTGCCATATTCTCAAAAAAAAACACTGGGTGTTTTTGTTTTAAATTTTAGTATCAGTTAAACAGTAGTTGCCGACAGTGCGGTACATGCGCGAAAGTTTTAAGCCTGTTAGCAATTGTTTAAAAATTTCAATAATTCCCACATTTTAATAAAAGGTCACAAATTAGTCGAGTGGCTTTCTCTAAACTCTTACCGTAGGGTATAAATATTAATATAAAGATTATTAAGTTATGTAAACCTTGCCAGAATGCGTCTAATTTAACTTTATGACGTGTTATTGGAGAGATAAAGAACAGTAAATTTCAGGTGAAATTTTTGTGTAATGGATCCTATGAAAATTTTTGAACTCATATATCAACTGAATAGATAAAGTGTAAACATTTAATCGGTTAATTCCCAGTTAAATTACACATTCATTATCATTCTTAAATAAGACAAATGTTCACAAACTAAAGACGTTGATATCACATTCATTTGGATACACTATGAACCTGCCATCAGAAATCCATGACTTTAAGAATGTATAAGCTGCTTTGATTACCATCCACTTTTTTCACCCTACGTCTATTCCAACTGACATCATTTGCTAAAAGAGATAAATTTATTTGTCTTAGAACCAAAATTAAATTCCTGAAACACGAAATCCCCGAAAAAGTGAATGCATTATTCAGCTAAACATGAATAGCGAATGGGTCTACTTTATGCCATGTGATTGAGCCGATAATATCAAACTGCTAATTTCTATTTCTAAACGATTTTATATGTAAACAAATATATCAGCTACTTAAGTGTTGGTTTGTAGGAATTTGATTAGTTAGAGGATTTCATCAGGAGCTGACATTAGTTAGAAAACCACTGGAAAACCTACAAGGAGTACTGTACAGCTGTTTCCTGCGTCCTATTTTTGGACTCCTCAGTAGTACGCACACACCGGGATTCGAAACTATCAGCTATTTAATTCAATTTTAGATTTTCCCGTAAATTGGTTGGACCGAAGTGCTTGGTCTGTGGGTCGGCATGTTGGCTGCTTCTGCAGATGCTTCGACGATATCTGGGCATGAAATTAGAAGTTGATTGGTGGATGGTGACTAGCAGTGGAATCCAAGATGCACATTTCGTCCTATTTAGGACTCGTCATATGGATGTACCTACATTTCAAAGACGACATGTCAACCTGACACCGATCACTTCGGTCCAATCAGTTGATGAGAAAATCTATAGTTGAATTAAATAGTTAATATGACCCACTGAACAAGAGGTGGTTGTAGTGTTGTTTGAAACCATAGGCCTCGGCGGGAACATCATCACTCACTGAGAAATGCAGGCACATCTAGATGACGAGCTTCAAATAGGACGAAACGCGCATCCTGGCTGGATTCCACTGCTAGTCACCGCCCACCAATCAACTTTAAATATATCAGCTGTTAAGCTTTTAAAAAAATTAACCTTTCTCCGGTTTTCACTACTGGAGTTTTTTTTCGCTTAGTTGTCATCTGACTATGTTAGCCTGCCAACTCTCATCTTAGCTCTTGGAATAGATTTCTTTGCTTAAAACACTTAAGTGTTTTCTACTGCTATCATTAATCATAAATGTCTTAATTTTTTTCTTTTCTAATTGCAGTTCTACGCCGTAGACAACAAAGTGAATTTTTATAAATATCCACTTTGTTTTTTGTTTTTTTTTCTATGCAAAAAGATTTAAAAAAATTAATTCACTTTCAAAGTTTTGTCTCTGAGTGAATAACATAGCGAAATTTAGGGAGACATAGGTAAATTCATTTTAACTGGTGTTTATGTTAGAAAGAGTTGTGTCGGGAAGTGAACACAACCACAACACAGCAATATAAGCCAACTGAAGTCTTTTGGACATGTATAATTTGAAGTTCATACTCATAAATCAATTAGTCTGTGTGTATGTATATCCACAAATAAAAGCCTCAAAGTTTTCGTAGGGTACATGTTTAAATATCACTGTACTATACTTATCGTATAAAATATATTAGAGAGTGGTTACGAATTGAAATCTTATTGGTTAGATTTGTCTCAAGATATTACCGCCTCCTCTTCAGGTTTTGCTTATCTGTGACAAACTTTAAAGTGTGGGTCCCAGGCACATGTGGTATCTTTGCAATAATTGATGATAACACAATATGTAATAACCATGGTTAAGTATACCAGCTTCATATAATGAGGTAATGACAGTAGTATTTAAGAGTACTAAAGTTGAGACATAAACTGAAACTGACAGCCACTGGTTATGATCTTTCTGATTCGATAACCATCAGTCGAAATCTCTGCAGATCCAACTGGAAATGCCAACTATACTTAATTTATTTGACTAAAACACGAGGGACCCCAAAATCCCCTGTATTCAGAAAAATCAGCTCATTCATTTCAATCGAGTCTATAAACCCTCTACTAGAAAGAAAAGACTTCAACTATAAAAATTTAACCTGGCTTTTTCAACATTTCATATGAAACATAGAAATGGTTTGACTAACATTCCTACACCGATATTAAGAATGGTGACTATCGACTGTTTGTTTGACCTGTAACACCTGTGAAGCTTTACACCTTTCCTCATCACTTTATTCAACTGCCAATTTTATAACAGTTTTTTTTTCCTTCACGTTCCCAGTGGAACATAAGACCTCAAGCTAGTGGCTTGAATTTTCTGTAGCAGTGTTTATTTTTACGGGATGAGGTTGTTAGCCTCATGCCCTCTTTACTAGCATTATTTCTGGCTTAGCGAGGTAAAGGAGTGCGTCACTGGCTGTAGATCGAACCCCGGACTATGTGGATGGTCAGCGAGCGTCCTAATCACTGTGCCACCGAGGCACTATAACACATATGACTCACAACAACACTACACAGATTAATTATCTTAGTAATTTGATTACTTATTATGCTACTGCCGTCTTAATTAGTTATTATTAGAAGGCGAAAATATGGTTGTTTTCCATTTGACCATTACATACAATACCATCTATAGGACTACAGTGCTTCACATTCCCCACTTTGTCCTTAAGGATATCAAGTAGAAAAGTTGTTCAGATGCCTAGTGTTCGATAACTGATGCATCCTATCTATCATTTGAAAATAAAGTAAAATGCGGGATATTCTGTCTTGTTAACTAATTTTCTAACTTTAAACCTCTTTGATTCCCGCGATTTCACAACATCCGTAGTTGTCATAAGAATGCTTTTGAAGATTCAATGCATTAGATATATGGGAAAACGAATAAAGATTGCGTTAAGTACTGTAAAATAAACATTTTATATGCGTGTTAAGTATGTTGATTTTATAAAATGTCAAAGGAACTTACAGACGTTGTAGCTGCTTAAAGGGAGCAAACACATTCTCCGGAAGAGTGTGAAGAAGATTGGAGTTCAGTTTCCTAAAACATATGAAACAGTATTCGATGAGAACCGTTGGACAGCAGGAGTATTGCAAGGACACTTTACGATCATTTATAATTATAAACAAGTAGCTGCTTGTGTCAATAGGAGACGGTTTTATATAGTGATCTCAATATCACTTTTAAGTGTAAATTACAAAAGAACTGTGGAACACAAATTAAATTTTTTCTAATTTTTGATTTACAGCTTGATTCCACACTGTATTTTTGGTACAAGTATGGAATTTTTAGCATGCATATCGGTAGCCCAAATTTCGCAGGCCGACCATAGATATCAGGTGTGCGTCGGCAGGGGATGGAACCTGGAACCATTTGCATGGTCGGCAAGAGTCTTAACCACTGTATTACTGACGCACTTTGAAAGGGATTAACATGCGACCGATGAAGCAATACTTGCTGATTCTTGTATACTGCAGGAGTAATCAATGAAAGATTTCTCTAAGCACCAAGGAGAACCATACTCAGTTTATTATTATACGACACTTCACGTGTATATCTGCTAAAGTGTGTTAAAAACCGTTTGAATAACGGTAAAATTTAAACTAGTGTACCTTCTACTTACTCTATAGAGTTTACCTAGGATACTTCACCAGTGACCAACATTTTTATTGCAATTTATCATGCATTAAATTCCTGGGTTTCATGTAAGTCCCCACTTATCACAGACACAGCAACTGCCAAACTAGATATTTTAACCCTAATTTTAGTAATCCCAGCTAACTGGAGAAAGATAATGGCTGATTGACTGTTAAGTGGGATATACACTGGAGAGCGCCACTCCTCCATAGATTTCTGCTTGTCATAGACTCAATGAAACAGCGAAATAAGAATCTACTGGGATATCTTGAATACTTTATTTCTGTGAATTATAAATCCACTACTGTAATAAACAAAATTTAAACCATTCATAAGAGAGTTGTATTTAACTATATATTGACCTTCACTAAATTCTAATTATTTATATTGTCACTATTATTCAGAGTGAATCTGTACACTGGAATATCTATTTTTATCACCTTCATAAGGAAAACAAACAGATATTCCAATGCATTTACAAGCTACTCTGGTAGAAACATAGCCTTCTCTACAATATGATTAAAAGAAACATGTTTCTAACACAACATTTTGTGTATTGCTTTTGTAAAGAACATTATATTTAGTAGACAAAGTAGTACTTGTGTAGTTTATGTCGAGGTAACCTTTTAAAATCGAACACCTTGAAAGAATCATTATAATGAATTGAGAAGTCTTATATAATCTTCAAGTGCGTCAGTGGCATAGCAGTTAGGATGCTCACCAACCATGCACATGGTCCGGAGTTAGATCCCCGGCCGACGCACTCCTTCACCTCGCTAAGCCAGAAATAATTCTGGTAAAGAGGAGAGGTTGGGCATCAGGCTAGCAACCCCATGCTGTAAAATAAGCACTGCTACAGAAACTGCAAGCCAATAGCTTGGAACCCTATGTTCCACTGAGGATAGTGAAGGGAAAAAATCTTCAAGGAATTCTAGTGGTAATCACAGATGTAAACTCCAGTAATATGATACTTACAAACGACGTAAATTGATAAGTTGATTGAATGCATCCGATTCAATATTTTCAATTCCATTGTTTGATAGAATTCTAAAAATATATATTAAAATAAAACAAAAATAAATACTTTCTTATATGCTCATTTGTTCTTCATATATGAGGCAAATTAATAACTGCATGATAATAGTTGTAGTGGTAGTAAACATGAAACAGTTATGCAAATAAATATTCAGATGAGCCCTGTGTTTATAAATTATTCTCAGAAGTATGTACTGCATCAAAATGAAAATAATTATACACTTGTACGGAACGAATGAAGATGTGTAAAAGCCAGTCGGCCAGAATTGCAAATGAAAGATGCACCTTCATCAACCTGAAACCCGTTTGGAAATCTCCTGCTCTCCACCTCAACATAAAGAACAAAATTCGGATCGTTTGAAGCCAGCCTGTGCTTTTGTAGAGGTCATAGACTTGTACTGTGCCTCACGAAAAGGATTTCTAACAAGTTACAGACTTTTATCGATAGCTGCCACCTTCTCTGGTTACATTTTGAAGAACAAATGCCCTGTCAGAAAGAAACTCTAGGAACAAGTCAACAACGAACCTAATGCTCAACAAATATGTGGGAGAAAATGAAGATGGATTGGGCATACGTTGAGGAGGCCATCAGATGACATCGCGCACCAGGCTATGGCTTGAGTGGAATTCCAATTGGGAGCAACAAGTAGGTCGTCGGTGGGAGGGTGACATGGAGGAGGTCGTGTGAGTTGGAGGAGGAGATGAGAGATTATGGTCAACCATGGACCCAGATGAAGAGGACAACGTCAAACAGAACTAGGTGGAGATTTTTTCCTGAAGCCCTATGTTCCACTCAGAACCCAAGAGAGTAATAATAATACATACATACATACCTATTACATTTCATCTATCCTTGGAGATAATCATTACTTAATCAACGGGGTAATCCGTATGGAATTACTAAGGTTGTTATTTCAAAACACTTTTATTTGAGAGGAAATATTTTTGTTTTCATTCATTTTCCATGTAACCAGTTCCCACTAGCGGTTAGCTTCAACATAAATTCTCTTGAGTCTTAATGAAGAACTATAACTGATTGGGTCTGATACGGGCAGTTAAATATGGATGATATCCCGTAATTGTTGCTTTTTACTGTGAATTAGAAGTCAGAAAGCGAGAGTTTTTGAATTCTGATCCTGTAGGTCACTAGGGATAGGCCTAGATTTTAGCCCATCCTGATGGTGTGGATACACACTGCTGAAGAGTCTCGGACTATTACAAAACATCTACCTACCGTTGCATAGTTTTCATCTCTTTGTATCTGATATCTTGTACTGACTAAAACTAATCCTTAAATTACCAACTGCTAAGCTATCCTCGTGTTCAATTTCAATACTCCCTGTCATATTCAGAATTTACTCGCACTGTGAAGCGATACTTCAAGTGGTAATTGGTATAAAATACTGAATTCTAACCATGTGACTCACTGAAAAATGTTTGTACAGGAATTTGAACACGTTAATCTCTATTGCTACTGTCTATCATTGAAATTAAATTTCACTATATGAATATCGCCTTTAGGGTTTTTAAAATCTGTATATCATGTAACTTCTTGAAAGACAGTTTCTAAAAGTGGAATGCAAAGGCATTAAAGAGTATATCCAGGTTAGTGCGCTTAGATTCATATGTTACTAAGTGCCTGGAAGTTATCATCATATAAATTTATGTGATTTGCTAACATTTTGTCTATGATACGCAATTTATCTTTAGTTGAACAAACGTCACTACTTAAAGTTAGTTGCGACGAATATCTCCGGCATCACTATTGTAGCTGAATTGTCAGAAAAGATGTATGTCTTTCGACTTAACTGACTACAGGTAACTAAGTCACGTTAGTTACTGTACTGCGACAAACGCTAGTTTCTGGTTTATGATTTTTTTTATCGTTTCATCTGTAACCAACTAGCCAATACTATTCGATATTTTGCTTTTATTAAAGAGATGCAGACTGAATAAATTAAATTGCATTGCCGCAATAATCATAAAAATAATCATGATAGATGGAACACTGTCTAAATAGTTTCTAGGTTCTGCTTAAATATACTTGCAGGCATGCATCAACACAAACAGATTCATAAATGTCTTCTGACAGTTGACAATTGATTTGGTAATTTTTATTAAAGCCTTATCGACTTGCTATATATACTGGTTACTGATTTATCCAATGTTCATCCCGATATCACACACTGTTTAACTTGTTACTTTATGAACCTTGGTTGAATAAGTTGGCTGCAACATGCAATCAAACCCACAGTTTTTCGTCCATTCTTCTTAATTGGAGTGGGAATAACTTCCAGGAATTTTAAGAAGTTAAGACTTAAACGAATAAACATCCTATGAAAAGTGAACCTTTCGAATGGGCGTTTTGAGAGTTTGGAGACAACCATAATGTTTGAATATCGGTTTCAGTGGTATAAATGAACTCACTTCTTATTACATTTAGCGATTACAAGATCTGGTAGATCTTCTTTTTCTCTTGTAAGCCTAGACAATCATGAGTACCCAGGTGAGATAGTAAAGTGGTTGATTTTTCACCAGGTCCCTTTAATGCAATTTATCAACTTAATCCACTATTTCTAACGGTAGCTGACGATCGCAGGCCTTCATAGATATGGTTTGATAAGGATCCCATTCCTAATTGTTGCATAGGGTTCAATTATTAGTTTCACCTTCTTTCTTCGTCTTTCCTATATAGCACTTTACATCTTTCATTAGTATTATTATCACTTTTCTATCTTCCGTTATCTTACATATCACTAAATACGCAGGTGATATGCTTAGCAAACAGAATAATGCGAATGTAAAATAAATTTCATAATGACTCTTGCTGCAGGTGTGCTACTGTGATAGATTGAAACAAATGTCTGAGTATTTCATTTACATCTTGCATAATAAGTTGAATATACAGTTATAGTGGCAGAATACAAACGACTATACAATCGACTGATTGTATGATCAGGTACAGCCCTTATAAAATATCTTTTAATTAGTTCATTATTGGGTTATTCAATGTTCTGTTTAGGAATTTCATCATGAGACGCCGCAGCTTAGAGGACCATTGGGAAGCCTGGGAGTACTGGACAGCTGTTTCGTCCTAGTTTGAAGCTCTTCATCAGTACGCACTCACCACAGGGGTTCGAACCTAAGACTCTCCGGTTACAAGGCGAGCTCTCAGATCATTAAGCCACTGCGACCCAACTCAATGACCTATGAATTCCAGTTTTTGCTGATTCACGACCACTAAACAGTGCCATCGGCAAGTGTTTGTCCTCACACACAACCTACTGTACTGTTGATTTCTTTACCGTTGTAAGCATTTCCAGTAATTAAGCAACCTGAATTTATTCTCGTTTTTCATCTTTTACGATGCTTTTAACGCTAAATATGAATACCTGCGTTTTTCGAGGCAACACTGGTAGTGCAATTTTTTGTATTTTATGTATTTGCGCATTTACATCACCATTTAACAACATTTATTCATATTTCACTGAATTAATTAGGTTTAGGAACTCAATTTAACAAAGTAAACCGTATTAGGATTGTGAGACAGCTAGGCAGATAATATCTCTTCTCAATGCAGTAGTGTATTATTGTACCTATAGGTGACAGATGATGAAAGATCATGTGCTGACAAATGTGTACTGACGAATTTTGTCTTTTAACGATTCTACTAACTTGTTAAAGATTTTTATAAAATGGTGTTGCATCTAAATTTCGAACTTATAGACAGTCTTTTCCAAAATGTGTATTTCTCTGTAAGATTTGAAAATACCTACCCTCTTGGTACCACTTATTCCGATTTTTGAATTCTGGAGAAACTCACTGAAGTGATGTCTTCTTGAAATCTACCATCTACCAGTTGCATTTTTTACAGTTTATTGGTTTAGACTTCACAAAATAATGACATATCTATCCCCCTCACCTAGTATGGTGACATTCACAGTCATGCATTTTCCGGACAAAAAATTCAGAAAATCCGTACTTCTGACCAACTGCTATCCGTCAGTAAGAGATAAATACACCTTTAAACGAATATGTATTCCCAGGGGGAAAATTAGGATACGTAACTCAGTGTTAATGATTGGCACTTTTTTAACCCTGAGTAACAGTGATATATTGTTAGAGACCCTAGCAAAACTATGGCTGAACTGACACTTTGAATAAGTTTTGTTAGCTTATGCTGATTTGAGAAAATAACCTATTTGTAATCAAGGGGGTGGGGTGTGAGGACAAATACTCGCCGAAGACATTGGCTAGCGGTCGCGCTATGTCGTGAATTGGCAGAAGTTAGAATTCAAGAACCATTGGATCGGGTCCCAGTGGCTTAATGGTCTACGAGCTCGCCTTGTAACCGGAAGGTCCTGGGTCCGAACCAGGGTGGTGGGTGCGTACTGCTGAAGAGTCCCAAACTAGGCTGACGAAACGACTGTCCAGTACTCCCAGGTTTTCCAATGGTTCTCTAACTAATGTCAGCTCACGATGAAATCCTGAAACTAATCAAATACCTACAAACTAACACTTGAATAGTCAAGTATGTTTCGAGTTCACTATCTTGCATATATTTCACTTTATTGTAGACGGAAATACCTCTCTCAACCTTATTATCATAACAGTTTCCTGGAGTCAATTCACATCTGTTTCTTAGATATTTTTCACCTAGAGGCTTGTTACACTTTCTTTTGCATTAAAATAGAAATTGTTTTTTGGTGTTACTTACAATGTTTTTAGATGAATAAGACCACGAAAACTATTTCCGTCCAAATTCCTGATTTTGTTCCCAGTAATCGTTCTGTTAAAAAAAAAAGACAAAAATAAAGAACATCGAAGATTGATAACAATGTTTTTAAAGATAAAATCAAATAAAAGGTGAATGCCCATGAAAGAAAATTATGAATTATGTTTCTGCTTAAAATAAAATTTGTTTTAAAGTAAAGAATAACATTACTTTCCCAGACTGAGGTCACGGTAAACTGGTATGGATGCAATAGTGAGACAATTTGGGGTTAAATAGTGAGCCGAGGTAGTAACAGGAGGATCAGAACTAACAGTGGTCAGATAAATAGTCTCAAGTCGCATTTATTTAACTGGAAGAAGGATTATCTAGCTAGTAAAATAGTTGAGGAACGCAAAGTCAAATGTCAGTCATTTGTCTAAATGTATTTACTGTTCATCTATATAACTCTACAATATATTTTCTGTCCAGTAGTCATTCAATGCTTTTCTACTCTACAGTACAAGTTCAAGCCATTGTCCTTCCGGTTATTTTAGATAATAAAGTTAAGAATATCTTTATTATCTAAGATAACAATGGGAAAAGTATTACCGTTTTACTACCTGGTTAATAAATCTTACTTAAACAAAATAAACTACTCCTTTTTGCATAGTTTTTAGTCTTTGTGCATAAAAAGTTTCCTCATTAAGAAAAACAACACACATCTTTATAACGTACATAATCCTTTCATCAGTGTTTTAATTAAAGCAACAGATTTAAGGTCAAAATGAATTGACATCCTAAAGTAAATCGGGGATAGTCTTTCCTTTAAGCTTTTTAACTTTATTTTCTTAATGAACTAAACTTTATGTGGAATTAATAAAATCATGTGATGAAGTCAGAGAATGACGTTACCATTCTCATTCTGTCTACTAAGCAATACATTCGAATAAATGAAGCAGGAGACATCATTTTTTTTATAAAGGTAACATAAGAAATATCTTCAGCTCTGCTAATCTGAAGCAGATCATTGTGGTGGCCTCCTTAAATTACTGGGCTTCCTAAATCTCTTATGTACCAAAATGCATTGTTTTAATTATCTAATTACCGCAATAGTTCTCAGTCTTCACTCGCGCACAATTTCAAATAAGTTTCTATCTATCACTAGGAATTTTTGAAGGAAGCACACTGTGGAGGAGTATTGGAAAGTGATTCGGATGAAACGATATTATCTCAGACGATATATTATGCGTTATTATAATGTTTTTGAAGATTCTGAACAAAGAGTAAACACCTTGCTATGAAGCTCGTTGAACCCTTTCACATGTATCTAAATGCACTTTTCAGAATAAAGCAGAAGAAAATTTAGAGGCGGAACTGTTTTGTATCTCATGTTAATGACGATTTAATATGGCATATTTACTGTATTTTATCACATACTTCCTGATGAATCACAAGTCTTTCTGTAGCAGTTTGACTAATTTTATGGGATATGGTTGCTACCTCCACTCCCAACTCTCCCTCTTTACCCCGGCTTGGGACCGACTTGAAAACTAAAGAGCCAATGAAGTAGGAGGTGTGACATGGAGGAGATCGTACGAGGAGGACATGAGAGATTATAGACAATCAACGACTCAGTTGAACAAGACGACATTAAAATATTTTACTATAAAATGAAAATGAAAAATAATATCCGAATAAAAAGGAGTGAAATTATTTATTATTATTATTATATCCTTTGATTCCTAGAGAAACATAGGGCTTCAGCTGCGCACCTCCATTGCCTATTGTTTTCTGCCAACTTTTTCACTCCCTCCAAGTCTGCCCACATGCTTTCATCTCCTCCTCACATGACCTCCTCCAAGTCACCCTTGCACTGACAACCAACTCGCCGCTTCCCTTTCGGGTTCCATTCGAGCAATGGCTTGTCTAGTGATGTCACTCACTAGATGGTTTCCTCAGCGTATGGCCAATCCATCTCCATTTCTTCCTGCCTATTTGTTTCACAATCGGTTCCTGCCGGGTTGATTCGCTCCTAGAGATCCCTGTTGCTAATCTTTTCTGACCGGCCATCTGATCCTGAGCGTAGTATTGAGCGAAGACAACTGTTAGTGAAGGTCTGAAGTTTGTTTGAGATACTCTTTATGACGCGCTGGCCAAGTCTCTGATCCGTATGATGAGTAGCACTGACTGACTTCACATTGGAGTTGAAAATCCGGACCTTATTTTTGATGCTGAGTGCTGTTGACCCCCACACAGACTTGACGTGAGTAATGAAAGCTTGTCTTGCTTTCCCGACTCTGGCTTTGAAATCCTCGTCAGTTCCATCCGCGTGTAGTTGAAACGATGCTTCCTAGGTAGGTAGGTAAAGGAGGTTGCTTCTTTCAGGTTCCTCCCATTTATGCTGACTGTCGTCTGTTGTTGTTGCTGCTGATGCTGTTGGCTAAGAATCCTCATCACCTCTGTTTCATCTATGTTCACCTGAAAACCTATCTTCTCTGGATGCTTCTTCTGCCAACTTGTTGCTTTTCACTTGCATATCTTCCAGTTCGTGGGAAATCAGACATATATCATCGGCGAAGTCCAGATCTTCCAAGTTTTTTGTGTGAGTCTATTTTATGCCTGTTTCCTCATTGCTCGTTGTTTGTCACATTATCCAGTCTACTGCAGTCAGGAAGATCATCGGCGATAATAGACAGCCTTGCCTCACTCCCATCCTCACTTCGAAGGCTTCGGTAACTTTCCCATTGTGGATTACTTGGCATGCAGCATTGTCGTATGAAAATGAGTGAGATACCAATATTAAATATAAAGTTAGAAGAAGCAAACCTTTAGTTGAAGAGAAATATTGCAAAACTTTGTGAAGTCAATAGCGGTAACAGTCAGTGGAACCAGTAAATCAAAAGCTGCGCATAAAAGCAACTTTACTAAATATAATCTGAACTTTAATACATGTTTTTTTTTAATGGAGGATTTAATCATGAGCTGACATCAGTTAGAGAACCACTGGAAAACCTGGGAGTACTGGACAGCTGTTTCCTGCGTCCTAGTTTTGGACTCCTCAGCAGTACGCACCCACCGGAGTTCGAACCCAGGACCTTCTGGTTACAAGGGGAGCTCGTAGACAATTAAGCCACTGGGACCCGATCCAATGGTTCTTGAATTCTAACTTCCGCCAATTCCTGTGAAAGTTAAAATCTAAGAAAAAATGGTATCGTCCTTTGGATTAGTAAATTTTAGGATGGAAGCAGACGTTTGTCACAACGGTTATTTTGTACAGTGTTTATGTACTGGTTTAAATAGAGTCCATGTCTGTTAGAACAGACATCTGAGATTTAGTTTTTTCAAATTTATTTCAAACAATCTATTAAAAGAGATCTCCATAATATAACTGTTAATTTGGTTTCACATGGGAATCAAGGTTTTATTTGTTCCACATCTTTTTGCTTCAGTCTAAAGTCATATGTGAAAAATTTTTTCCATTCTCATTTAAGAGTGACGGAACGATGTGTTCATTTTTATCAAATATATTTGTTCATGTAGGGATTAAAAACGCGGTGATAACAAAATAGACAGACATTTGGATAAAAAAAAAAGCATAGTAGAGCAAATAGGGAATAAGAAGCGTAAAAGTAAAATAAATAAATAGGAAATTCGGAGAAAAAATGTATTGGAATAGTCACTATTGATAGAACAGACCGGTTACGATTGTTATGGTAGAGACAACGGTTGGATGTATTTCATTTGAATACCAAGCGTAAGTTGAAACAGTTGGATTGCTTTGCTCGGATACCTACTTTGATTTCATTCACTTTGAGACGCTTGATCGGAGGTTCCATGGGACTTTGAAGAGCTTTGAAAATGGAGCTGAATGTCCTGAGTTCACCGGATTTTTCGTTGCCGAACTGTATACACACTTGCGTTCTCCCTTTGCTAGTCAGACCAGATAGTGTTCTCTAGAGCGTTTTACAAGCTGACGCATAGTACAGCCAATGACCTCAGCTCTACGAAAGCATGTAAACTGGTATATGCACATGAAATTGGCCCAGTTCGGCAAGTTGTCTTTCACTTTCTAGCTGAATAGATTTTCGCAGGAATATGCCACTCGCAGGCTGCTGGTGAAGCATGTTTTCGTGAAAGATTTCTATTTCTAACCAGTTTTCCTTTCATTTTGTGCAGTTCGCAGAAAATTAAAGGATTTCAAAGTAATTTTCGTTAAACACAAACTTTAGAAGTGAGAACAAATACTGCAGTGTAGTAAGAAGTGTTGGAAATAGGAATAACCAGTTTACAAGCTGACGAGTAAATGACAACGTGTCCACTATGAAGAAAAAAAGTAATGGGTTCATATATGTACACATTCTTACATTGTAGGCTCAGATAAGATAAAAGTCTATCACTTCCTGATCTTCTGATGGATTTATAACATGAACTAGTTTACGATAGAAGTGTTTTGGGATAATTTATTGACTAACACTTAAATACTAATAGCTTATAATATCCAATCCATTTGACTAATATTCTTTCTGGGTGAGAAGAATAATTCCTTTTTAGTTGGTGAGAACAGATAAGTAATTCTTAGTTCATTTTCTCTTGCATCTTATAATTATATTATCAGAGGTAAGGTAATTATTATGTGATAAAATAAATCCCTTTAGGATTAAGAGGTTTGCATTCATATCACTCTTTTAAGAAACTATCCACTAATCAAACAGTGATAATGAATAGTCATAGGTCATCTTCACTCTTCACGCTTTTTACGCAAGATCATTTCACCTATTATAATATACCCTATTACGTAACACAGTGGCTCAATCTTTCTAATGTGCCAATAATCGTATTAACACATAGAAGAGTAGGATAAATTTACGAAACCAATACAATAATCGTTGTTAACCCTAACAGATATCCTATCTCGATTAATGTTTAATAATAGTGATAAAAGTATTAGGTGTTTATCGGAAGCAAAAAACGAACTGTGAATTAACAAAATTAGAAGATTTGTGGATTCATTCAGTCGTGAAAATTAAAAAGGACTACTAGAAGACCTCATTACTGTAGGCAACATTACAATGATG